ACAAGACAAAACAACAACAATAACAAAAACAGGAGAAAAGAATTTTAAAAGGACAAAATACAAGCTCACAGAGGTGTTTTATTTTGAAAAGAACATGAAAGGTAAGTCTCCACAAGCAATTGGTAAGGAAATGCTGCTTGTGAGCCATGGGTTTACAAGAAAAGTCAGAGATAGAGGTGGGATTATCCCAGCAGAGTCTGAGTTAAAGGTTACAGATGGCGGGCTGCAATGGAGAAAAGGTGCCACCCAGTTGAACATCTTCTGTTCCATCTTTTTGGCCAAAGAGAACTAGTTGGACTTTGTTGTTTTGAACTTGGTACCCCTTCCTGCCTTCTTATTTGTCTCCTCTTGGGTGGAACCTTCTAACCAATGTCTGTGCTCATCATTTTGAAAGCACATGATTTGTCTGGCTTTACTGGGTCCCTGCTGGATGGGAATTCTGCCTCGGCCTTGGGATGAATCATGGTCTGAGTCCCATCCGTACCGAGTTTGGATGACATTCAAATGACTCTTGAGACACTAGAGATGATGCTGGAAGGAGAAAATGTTATTGCTACCGTAATATATTGAGTATTTTACATGGGTTTGGAGAACCAAGAGAGAAAAACCATGGTCTGAATATGTCTCTCACACAGAGTCCTGTGTTGGAGCTCTAGTGTTCAGTGAGACAGGAACTTTGGCAGACATTTTGAGCCAGATTATCTCCTAGTGGTAAATTCTGACCAGTTAAGAAGATTAGACAATCTCTTTCCCCTTTGCCTTCATGTCTTCTCTCCCTCCTTACCTTCTTCTCCCTCTACTTTCCTCCCTTCCATTCTCTATTTTGTGAGGACACAAGAATCCAACATCTGACTCGGCTTTCCACACTCTACAGCCATGAGAAAATAAATATTTTAAGTTACCCAGTTCACAGTATGCTATTTTGATAGACTGGGATAAGATTAGAACCTTGGGTATGGGAGAGGGATGGTATCTGAAATCTGTATTAGTTTGTAAAATTTGTATACACTATAATTTTTATTATGTTTCTTTGGTATGCTTTTTTCTAGAAAAGAGATTCTTGTTTGAGCAATGCTTCTATTGACAAGGACACTATTCCACTTTCCAAAGAACTCAAACACACGGAAGACAAGAGGCCATCAAGATAGAGCATAAGTTGTCTGGTGCCTATAATTCACACTTATTTGAATATGTGTATCCGAAATGGGGCTCCATCCAGCGACTGCAAAATGATTTTCTTTAAACAGACAGGTTTATTTACCCAAGATAGTGAGGTATATTGATTTTCCTTCATCAGGAGTTTTTTTTTTATATCCATATTAACTTACTTATGTAATTAATATTAAGTGACAGATTTGGTGACACATATGGATTAACCTGTGCAGAGATCTCAAGGGGATATTATTAACAACAGACAGTGTAATTGTTTTCTGATTTCAAACAAACTGCTTGGTTTTAGCAAACAATGCATTCTTTCATTCTGAATAGAAAATGAAAGGGGCTGCAGAGATGGCTTAGTCATTAAAAGCACTTGCTGTACTTGCAAAGGGCCTGGGTATGGTTCCTAGCACCTACTCACAAACACCTGTCAGTCCAGTTTCAGGGGATCCAATGCCCTCTCCTGGCCGCAGTGGGTACTTCATGCAGGCATGTGGGGTTCATTCACATACTCAGGGCACACATACATACACACAAACAAGCAGATTTTTAAAATGCTTTTCCTAGAATAATAAGAGATGAGAGGGTGTGATTCTACTGTACCCGGCCTCTCAGCAGTTCGTAAGCCGTCACCCCGAGGGACCACCAGTCCACAGCAAAGGAGTAACCTGTTTCTTTCCTGGAGCTGAACATCTCCGGTGCTGCAGCAAGACAAAGAAAAGGTCAGTTCCACTCCCAACACTCCAATCAATCTATTTTCCCAACACATTCCTCCAAAGGAAAATTAGCAGCCTGAAAGGTGTAAACACTTTCCTGGATGTTTATTATCCTTTAGTAGATTGCACGCAGCAGGCAGCATTTTCTAATTTTTTTTTTAGCCCTCTCAGCAGCACTATTCATCAGCTAACATAAACAACCACATACAGGCCTTAATGGACAAATTTGTCCCTTATTTAGATCATGAGCCTCTTACATCGTAGGTCCTATCAGGCTTCAAACGAGCTGCTAACTCTGAAACAGAATTGAGAGGAGTTTGCTGTCTTCATCTGGGGAGTTGACACTAAAGGAGGTGAATGTATATAACAATCTCAAACAGTGTTCATATTTGTACGAGACACATAATAGCTTGGCTCTCTGTCTTGAGGGTACCCGGACACATCGGAGGGGACACATGTAGTCTCCTGTTGTGTGTGAGGGCAGGAGAAACAGGAGCAAGGGAACCTCAGGAAGTTTAAGGCTTTGAATATCCGTGGGACATTTATACTTTCTAAATATAGCCTCTGAGTTGACTCTCCTAGAAAGTACAGTCACCATCAACTGAACCGTCAGAGATGACCCCCTCAGGCCTTCTTTAAGCACTTTGCCATATCTTTCTAAGAAAAACACTTAAGTCCTAACTGTTAGAACAGGGGAGACAAAGGCCCTATCAAGGATGGATTTGAGGGTGTTGCTCACTGTGGCACACACAGTGTCTAGTTCAAAGCCTGACAATCCGAGTCAGTAGATGGAAGTTTATTGCACAGATGAATGGACACAGAACCCAGACTTGTGGTCATTAGCTCTGCAGCTGTGCTGGGTTCAAATATTGCCTCTACCACCTGCTATGCCCATGCACAGATAAGTTGGCACAAGCAGGATCAGAACACTAGAACAAGAAAACCTCCTCATCAGTTTAGAAATGAAATGAATGAATGCATGTCCAAATGTCAACATAGTGCCTGCCATTTGCAAAGTACTAAAAAAACAAAAACAAATCAGAAGTGAATGTCCATAGCAAGAAAAGAATTGGCCTAGTTCAAAGGTACACAGAATTGATGCCAAGCCTCCTGTGGTAAGGTACTGATGCTGGGCCAAGGAAATCTTGGGGACATGAGATCTGTATACTCAAGCCTGCTTGCCTGCACATTTGAATGCTGACTAAATTTCTGAGGACAGCTTCCTGTTACAAGTGTAGACGATGGACATCCTTGTGCTAAGAACTGACTCTGAGAGCTTCACTCTGGAGGACTCAGTGGGTCTCACGCCCTGGTAAATTCCTGTTTCACACATCACTGTGTCCTTTCTTCCAGTCCCAAGTCCCAGGGCAATTGGGGAGATAATGGCCCTGACCCTACTCTGCTCCCACTCCCTACTAGAAATTCCCAGATAGAACTGACTGCATTTTTGTGTTCCTTTTCTCAGTATTGTATCTCAAACCATCTCCAAGGAGACAGGTGTCAAGCATTGCACTTAGGAGACATCCAGACAATTTGGAGGCATGGCAGAGGCATTGCTCTTAGAAAAATGTCAAATGAAATAAGCATTACTCCATGAAAGTAGCACACTCAGTCATATCAGGTCATCCTGGGAAGAGATGTGACTCTTTGTTGTTATGGTTGTTGTTGTTATTTTTCCACTGCAAGTGGGTATCTATCTTTTTGTCTCCTCTCTGCTCTGTTTTCAAACATGGAGGCATTTGTATATGCATTCCTTTACTAAACAAAATTCATGGTGTGCTAAGCACTGAGCAATTATGTTGGGAGTTTAAGAGCAAAAACCACAACACACAAAAGTAACACGACACATTAAATCCTCAAAGACGCAGAGGGCGATGCTGAAGGGCTTTCTCTGATTCTTTGAGAACATACCCTGCTCCTGAGAGGAGCCAAACAGAACTGGAAAGACACTCTTTTTCCTTCAAATAGACTCGGGGGCTTTTGTGTGAAACTTTTTTCTTTTTTTTAAAGAGTCTTTCAACATATACATTCAGAAAGTCTCTGAAACATTTGAGAATTGGGAAAGGATTCAGAAGTCAGCATCCCTGTAACTATCACACCCATTGAGATACACAATCTTGCTCCCACCACTGCACTCTGTCCTGTCCACCCTGCCTGGAACTCACCATCCTGAATTATGATTGAGTAATTCCTTACAATAATATATGAATTTCTAAACAGCAGCTTAATTTTGCCTATATTATGCATACCTTCCCGGGGCTCATAAATTAGTGGGCTGAGGGAGCGGCTAGCCACATAGGTATTTACAAAAGTTGTTTCAAGCAATGATAGTGAGGCAAACAATAATAAAGCAAAACGAGAAAAAGGAAGGAAAACAACCTTGCGTCCTATCAAGTCAAATGCTGGGCTCTGTAGTCATTGCTGTCCTGCTTTTATTTGTTCAGTATTTGTTTGTGATTTATCCAAATTGCCAGGCATGTTTAGTTTGAATTTAATGCTACATAAATACATGGTAATATACATACCTGTCCCATTATAGATAGCTGTTGGGATTATTTTCAATTTGGGACTGTTACAAATAGTGCTGTTTTGACCATTCCTGGGCCAGTATGATCTTGTATCTTTACTGATGTTATCAGTGTGGAGTATGCTGGGTATGCATTTCACACACCCAGACAAGGCCAAGCTACTCACCAAAAGGTTCTTGTTCACACCAAGACCAGGGGCCAAAGTTCCTTTTGTTTGACAGACTTTCCACACTTATGCCAATGCCAGTATAAGAAGTTATTTAAATGATGATGAGCGATTGTCAAATCAGCACAAGAAGGATGTGATTTTTACAAAGAATTTCCAAATAATTACTTAATAACCTAACAAAAATAAAGGTCCTTAGTTAAATATATGTTCAATGAAAGTAGTGTAGAATTGGAATTAAGTAAAAATGAATAGAATAATATCTAGGATCTGGGAATAAGTGAATCTAGGTAGAAATAATAGCATCCAAAACAGAAACCCTGAAGCAAGTCCACAGGCATTCCTGAGAGACAGGGCATAGGCTACACGTGCCAGGCCTTGGGCAAGCGCTCTAGCCCTCTACACAAATGTGAACAGTTTGATTATCAAGAAGTTCAATGTTCATGCTGGCAAACCAGCAGTCAGCGGACAAAAATAAGGAGATTGCTGCATGTTCAAAGTCTGAGCTACGAAGTAAGTTCCAGGCCAGTCAGAGCAACATGGAGGGACTCTGCCACAAAACAATTCATTTCAAAATTATCAAATCAAGGAGACAGGGCGCTTCTGTACCAATAAAACAACAATTGCCACCTGTTAGGATCTAGGCTTTAATATACCGGATACATAAAGGTGGAAATTATTCCCATAATCACTAAGAAGTACAAGACAAGGGAAGAAGTTTCTCATTGGACCTGTTTCCTAACTGATCAGACTGGCAACCTCTAAAGTGGACAGAGCAACAGTTACTGCCATACAGAATTGTTTTTAGAGTCAGTGACCCAAGCCTTGTTCCCAGAATGTACCGAGCTTGCTAGCAAATGTCAGTCATTATACCATTATCACAGCCATTCCCCCAAATGTTCTAGGCTAAATGTTTCTAGATCCAGGTTTAATTTCATGGTCTGTCAATCACTTGCTCTATGGCTATGATCATATCATTTTCTCTCTGGGTTGGATGTTTTTAATGTGTGAATAAAAATAGTAGTAATATCTACCCCACAGGATTGTTTTGATGATACAATAAATATTAAAGACTTAACAAAGCATCTGGGACATTGTAAGTGCTCACTACATGATAGCAATTGTTGTAACCTTTATTTATATTAAAGAAGCTTAGTCTAATCTAGCTTCTAAAAATATAAAGATAAATGTGTTTGTCCACAGAAAGTTTTTGATAAATATCACAATTTCCCATTAAAAACGTGAAACTGGGACCGTGCCTGACCTCTTGCCTATAATTCCAATTTACTAATTTTACTCTATGAAATGCTAGAAAGACAACTGTGAAAAAATTAAATTATACAGATCTATACTTAAAAATGACTGGGGAGAAGAGAGAAAGGTGTCCCCCCTGTTACTTCTGTCACCATGGAAATCATCCCTAGAAACCCCAGATGCACTCTTTCTGATTTGGCACCAAGAAAATAGCCTATAATGTAGAAACCCAGGAAACCTGGGGAACAAACTGAACAGACCAGCAGGCCTGGATATTCCCTTTTATCACTAGATTGCTGTGGGTTTTAGGAAGAAAAATGGTCTGAATTCTATGTGCTGAGTATTTTAGAAGTGACAAAAGAGATTTATTCTCCCCACCGGTCATTGAAAGCCATGAAATCTACAGTTGTTCAAATGTTACATAAAATAAGGCTCACTTTTATTTTTCTGGAGACAATCTTGTGGTGGCCTTTTATGTAAGAGTCCCCCTCCCCTTGTCTCTCATCACAGAGAGGAAAGAGAATAAACCAAAGGGGAATTGAAAGTAGCATTGCTCTTCTCCATTTTTCAAGTTCAGACATTTTTCTATGAAATTCTCTGAGCGAATCTAGCTTGTACCATTCATTCTGCCCTTTACAGAACCCCTTCTGCTTCAGCAGCTTTGAGATCTCAACTAATTAAGAGAGATGCAAGAGTAGAAGGTGGATTTCCTTCTATCATCTGGTAACAATCCTGCATTGTTTAATGTCTTGCTTCATCTGGTTGGTATCCCACCCCCATCCCACTGATAGCTTATCAACCATCAAGACCTAATAAATTTTAATCCCTTTGATTATTATTATGTTTCAAATATCTTAAAACCCAGTAAGGTCAGTTTTGAAAAGTGGTCTCTTAGAATTCACTCACCTACTTCACCAGGCTGGATATTTTTATACCTCAGTGTAGAGATCCAGGACTATGCTGGCTCTTACATTTCTCCATTGCTTGTTTCCTAGCGAGCACTGCTAATGTTTTTACGTGTAAAAGTGTAAAAGGGATCATGGAATCATCCTGCAAGTATGACGCGTCTGTCCCAAGGTTGGCAATGCTTGTCAATGCAGCTTGCACAGTAGTAACCTAATGACTTTCTAAGTATGATGACTTCAGAGGACTCACCTTGAGAAAGTCCGAGGCAGTTAGTCTGTACTGCAGTTGTTGGCATCTCTAGTAAGCCATACAGATGTGAGTCTCCCTTTTAAACTCTAACCCCTGCAGTGGAGGTACTTCAGGAAGCTAGACCTAGTTCAACCTAGTTTCACCAAACACAGTCGAGTTCCATCTTTACTGCTAAGGCTTGACTCCACAATCGACAAACCCTCAGGAACAACTAGGGTCTGTTAATTCAAGAATCAGCTTGCTCAGCATGTAGACAGATATCTAACCCAAATCCGAATCTTAGGATCCTGCTGTTACTGCCAACCCAATAATTGACAGATAATTATGAGTATTAAGTCACATCATTAGGAATGATATGGGAAAGGGATGCATTCCATGGCCATGAGAACCACATGCCTCCTGAGAAATAGTCCTCTATATTTTCCAGAGTTGAGACAAGGTACAGCAAGTTCTACTGACATAGTGTCTCTCTCTGCAGACAAAAGCACTAGCATCTGAAGTTGGAATTTGTAGCTGATTTGTGGCTACAATTAAATGTGGATTGTATGGGCTGTTTGACTCCTAGCCCTACATTGTTAATCACCCCTTCGTGGGTTCTTAATCATCAAGGGAAAAAGACAGTTCCACAAATCACTGTAAAAAAAAAAGGTATGCATATAGCAGAACAGTTCTTAGGCATAACCTATTCCCCTTTAAAATAAATCTCATTGATGAGATTGTTACAAAAACAAAACTGAAACTAATCCCATAACTGGGAAGATGGTTTGAAAACTTTGCTGCATTGCACATGTGTCTAGTATTTAAAAAAACACTGAAGGTATTAATCTTGTCATACGTTACGACTCTATTTACTTCTGATTCTTTCTATTCAATTTGTTTTGTATCCTCTCCCACTGACATGTAAGCTGTATGAGGCACGAGGTAGAGACATTACGCATGTTGCTTGTTAATGGGTCACTGTCATTTCAAAACCCTTCCACAGGTAATTAGTCATTGACTAAAATCATACTGTTTCTCAGAAACAGATGTACAAGGTCATATAATAGCATTTGCAGAATGTGACTAATGTCCCTGGTGAATCAAGATTGCCCCATGTAGCTTGCTAATGCAGAAGCTTCAGTCTCACATTAGACCCATTAAATCAATAGTCCCCATGTAAAACCAACCAGAAAGGAGCTTGTCAGCTCCAGGTCCAAGTCCTTATGAATTTGACCTGCAGTGAGTGGTATCTAGAAGAATCAGAAACAAGAGATCTGTTCTTAGGAACAGAAAAACACTTGTGAAGCTGCTCATACCCACCCATGTAAGGCTTTGTGCCAGCTACAGTGGTGATCCGAGTCTCCGTAGGCAGCATGGCAGCAATGTTGAAGTCTGTGATGTGCACATGCCCTATGGGGAGAGGAAGACCAGGAGAATGTTAAGTCCCTTCAACCAAGAAGAGCAGCCGTACATCTAACTGAAAAGATCTGGATGCTTAGCCTGTTAGTTCTGGGATGATAGCCTCCACTGAGTACGGGCAATAAAAACTTCCTTATTCCAGCCTCAAGGCCAATGAAGTCTTAAACCAGCAGGTCTGCAGCAGCCAGAACATGATATGCAGCAATTAGTCTCTGACTATAAACTTGTATTTCAACCTGAAACTATTTGAAATTTGGTGGCTGAGTTCATGCTCCATGAACTCTTCTGTGTATTACTGTCAGCTGGCACTGGTCTAGACTGTTTATTCTGTGCATACTACACCGGATATATCCTTAGTCTTGTTCACAAAGCATCCTAATTCTCATGATCTCTTATGGAATCTTTTTAAAAATACAAGTAAAATTACTATATGCTAGCCTGGGTATGGATATATATTTTTCTGTTGTTGCTGTTTTTGGTTTCTTGAGACACCATTTGCATGGGGGAGCCAGACATGGCAGGTTGCATTCAGTGACCTCTAACAAAATAAATTCTATCTAGGATCAACAGGCAAAATTCAGACTGTTCTTTAAAAGGATTGGGATCTAGGAGACATGGTCTGTGTCCAGACCTCTGTCCCTCTGTGACAGGTAATAGACATTAAGTCCTTTTTCTACATTGAGACTAAAGTTTCCTATATTAAAAAAAAAATTAAAGAATGGGAGCTGGGGGAAGGATTGAAGGAGCCTAAAGAATCAAAGACACCACAAGAAGACCTTCAGAGACAACTAACCTAGGCTCATGAGTGCTCACAGAGACTGAACCACCAGCCAAAGAGCATGCATGCCTGGACCTAGGACACTCACACATTTGTAGCAGATATGCAGCTTGGTCTTCATGTGGGTCCCCTAACAATTGGAATGGGGGCTGTGTCTGACTCCACTGACTGCCTTTGGTTCCCTTTCCCCTAGCTAGGCTGCTTTTTCTGGCCTTACTGAGAGAGGGTGCATCTAGTCCTGATTAGCATATCCTGATTAGACTTTATATCCTACGGTGGGTGGGTGCCCAGGGGTGGGTCTTCCCTTCTCTAAGGAGAGTCTCTAAAGAGAAGGGGAGGGGTGAATGGGAGAGGGGTGTGTGGAAGGTTGGAATTGAGAGGAGAGGAAAAAGAGGAACTGTGATCAGAAAGTAAAATGAATAAATATACTAATTTAAAAAATTAAAAATGGGTAGGTTAGATGATATCTAGGGCCTTTGTAAATTATGACACACAGTACTAAAACTGGGTCTTTTGAGGTTGTAACACACAGCAATAAAATGCAAGTGTAGCACTTAAGTTTTGTTGGAAATACACCTTACATAAATAGTGTTCCAGGGTTCCTCCATTTATATCTGGAAAGAAGAAAAAAGGCAGCATAGGAAACTCTAGGCCAACAAACCTGTTATGTTAGCTGTTGGCACAACAGTTATCTGCCTTCCTAGGAGTGTGAAATGTTGACATTTCCATTTACATGTGTCTGCTGTTTTGATGAGATGGCATTACAGAGGGAATAGCACCTGATTCTTGTTCTAGAGTCGCTAGTTCAAACTCCTCTCAACAAACCCCACGATCTGCTTCCGGTAGCATCTAGCCTATGGCTAATAAAAACTCTATCTCCATGAACATGGTTCTGTTTTGTGTAGAAAACACTTCTTTTTGTTCGGATCATATTTTCATAAGGTGAAATCAGCATTAGTCCAATTGAAAGTTGAAAGTATTCTTGGCCAAGTGGCACCAGTGAATGACATCAGTACCTTGCCTTAACATAGTGGAGGTTGTCTCAGTTTCTTTTACATTTACTTCTCTATAGTTTATGCTCCAAATATTGAACACTTTTGGAACTCCATGAAAATTAAGTGGCCCTGAAATTGTCACTATCACGAGCCTCTTCTCTGCAGTCAGAATGCATGGCATTAAGTCTAGTCTCTACCCTTAACAAGCTATATCACGTTGGACAAGTCCACTGTGCTCTCTGACTATAGTCTTCTTATCTTGTAAGATTATAGGAACCTAAAAGCTAGCAGTGACTTTGGAAAAAGTGGCCCAGTACTTGTCAGGGCACCAGAGTTGTTGCAAGTCACTATCAGAAACCAAGGTATACTTTTTACAGAACACATATGCCTGTGTCTCACTCTCCTGCAACTATAACTGTATTGACAGGAAAGCCTGGCACCTGCATTGGAAACAGCAAACTCCAGAAGGACAATCAGGAGCATCCAGGCATGGGTCCCTTTCCTGAAACCTGAAGCTGTTTTCCATTCTCAGTTCAAAGATTACCTAGATTTGTGTTGAAGTGGAATGTAAAGGGTGCTTTGGATATGGCCAGTTCCCAGAGTCTGTTCTTGAATGAGAAGCATCAACTCAGGAACTTGGAAGAAATGCAAAACTAAATGCCTCTCCTAATTTATGGATCAGAAACACTAAGGTGCATGGCCCACCTCCAATTTTGAATCTCCCAAAATCCTGTGGGTTCTGTCACAAAACCATAGGACTAAGTAACTTGAAGCAAGTTCCTTTTGATTAACTTAGACATTTCCCTCTTTGAGAATTGAAAAAAGAATGGGAAAGAATTATCTGAGGCCTAGGATTTATGAGAGCTCTAGCCGATTGCCATTAACAGCTTTCCAGTGCTATCCACAATGCTGAGCCTCTGTTCTCAAGGTTGTTTCTCTGCTGAGCTCTTGTTTTCCCTGCCAGGCTCTCTCCTGTGCTAGGAGAGTGACACCTAAGTGTGAGCTCACTCTGATGGGACTGAAGGAATGAGAACTTTCCTTGAGATGGAGGGGATTGTATGCCTTCTTCTACAATCCAGGCCTCCAAGCAACTCCTGGAATAAAGTTTCTTAACACCAGGACTATAGAGATACTAGAGTTATTAAGGCTTTGCTATGGACCTGACCTTGGCATTGTAAGATGTTTGGTATAAGGTTCTCTGGTCAAAGACTAAGAATTTCCTGATCTAGATACCTGGGGGGCAGGGTTCTGCCTGAGAGCTGCTGAGTTCAGCAACCACTGTTGTCGCTAGCTACATTCTTCCTCACTGTGGCTTTGCTTTGTCTGAGGTGCTTTCCACCAACACATTTCTCTAGGACATCATATTTTATTAGCTGATACTGGCCATAACTATTAAAATACTCCTATTTGCAGGTGCTTACAGGATGTCCAATACACTTTTCCTATGGTGTTAGATATTTACAACATTAGCTAAGACATGGTCATCATTATTTAGGGTCACATGTATTAACCTACTTCTTCAATAGAACATCTTCTTGTTTTTTTAGCGCCTTACTCATGGAGGAAGTTGATAAGATAGATATCTCTTTTCTTTCTCACTCTCAGGACTGAACTGTAACCACCCTCTTTTATGACTACTGACGATATTAAGACACTAAATTGTGGCTAATTTTATAACTATCAAAATCTTTGATATGCCAGGAAGGCATTATTATTCCTCTGGATGTCACATTTATTTCCTGAATGACTTAAGAAAAACACCAATTTTTTTTAACATTATGGAAGTGATAGAATTGGATTGGCCACATCAACTGGCAGGAAATAAAAAATGTTTCAGGACAGTGAGCTGTGATTCATCTGAGACCTGCTGCCATATTGGTTCTGAAGTAGTATAAATGAGGTATCTGTGGGAGCAGTAACTTCCATGTCCAAAATGAAAAACATTTTTTATATCAAACGCTGCACCATGGAAAGAGTCTCGATCTTGAGTGATTTCACATAAATACCACTATTGGCTGGTGAATATGAACAATATGAATCATCAGAATAAAACAAAGGTTCAGCTTGTTGCTGAGCTCAGGTGAATTAAGATAGCCACTGAATGATATATACAAGACGCACAGGGGACGCATGTAAGAAAAATTACACAGCTGCCCTGCACAGCTGCTAAACTCTCTAGGCCAGGGGTGAAATATTGAAAATATGGTGGCAGAGAGGATTGAAGCATCATCTCTAAGAGGTATATGGAAAATCAGAGCAGCTGCTGCTCCAAAGGGCAGGCAGATATCCATTCTACTGGTTCTCATAGAAACGAGCACATCAGGAGCTGGGGAATTCAATCACTTATGAGTAATGAACTTTGGTTCAGGAACAATGTTGAAGTCCTAGGGTTTTTTTGTAACCTAAATGAAATTTACTTCAAAACAATTATTTTCTCTAGAAAAAGATCCCTGGAATAGTGTTTACAGAATATATCCCAGATTTTCTCCTTGTCTGCTCCCATTTTACTCATTTCCAGATTTTTTTTTCATTTATTAAAAGCAACAATTTTGAAGGGGAGTTCAGAGTGGAAATACAACACAGTTCTTGTTGTTGTTGTTGTTGTTCTCGTCTTGAAGAGACGAGAGTAAAAAGGAGCATTGGAGTTTACCTGAGACACTGGAACTTCCCCCAGGAAGACTGGGACGATGTGGGGCAGTGGGCTGTGAGAGGCACCTGGGTACCTGGTCGAGCACAGGCCTCTAACCCTGAAGACCCTAAAGGGGTAGTAGGTGTTCAGCCTTGCTCCTGGGCCCTGGTTGCTCTCACTTAGCTTCATCCCTCCATAGCCCCTCCCAAAGAGAGGTTTGAGGCCATTGGTCAGGTACCACAGTTAGAGGGCGTATCTACAGGCTGCAGAGCCTCAAGAGAGCTCTATATTCATGAGATACCTAAAGGGCAGAGGGCGTAGCCAATTAAACATTTCTTCCCAGACCCTCCTCCTACTTGAAAATGGTATTTAGCATCAGGCCCACCCTGAGAACATGGGGTACAGCTTCATCCACTTTCCACCATGACAATAAACGTTTCGAGACCATGGACCACCTCTTGTCTTTGGAGCCCGCCGTGGGGAACCATGGAGAAAGCCTAATCTCCCGCAAAAGACCCCTCTAAGTTCCAGCCATGGAAGCCGCCAACTCAAGAGAGCTAGCCGAGCCAGCCATGACCCAGCCAAACAAGTCACTCTGACTTGTTCTGGGGGGTCTCAGACTGTGTTCTATCTACCCCAAGCAGAGTCATACAGCTTTCCACAGCCCTGCATGGTGTGGAGTAACACAGTCGAATTCCTGTGCCACAGCATCAGCCCCTTGGGGTGACAGACACTCGGGACCCACAATTCAGCCTAACAGGATCCATGCCCACGTGCACACCACAACGCCACAGGAATATACTTTCCACACCTCAAGCTACAAAGTCCTGATCAGAACGAAAATGTCAAGACCAACTGTCCAAGTGAAGGAAGTCAGAATAGAGCATGACCTGTGGAAGTATTTGAAGAGTAAGGATAGATGACATCGCTTAAATTCAGGATTCAATAAGAAAAGAAAGATCTTTCGTACATTGTATCTTAAGAGCCAAAGTAATTCTCTGGGGAAGATTAGTAAGCACTTAATTTTCATACACTCTACGAGTAGAGATCTTGGCTACATCAGATACATGCTGCTCTACACAAAACCACACCGAGCATTAACACAGTCCTTGTTCAGCTCTGAAAGCCTCTACAGTCTCATGGAAGTCATGCTTCCAGTTGGTTCTAAGAGGTTTTTCTTTTGTTTTGTTATGGTTGGCATTGCAGCATCAGTTGGTATCTATTGTGTCGGTGCTTGTAATGACCCGAGGACATACATATACTTGTTTTCCAAAGGGAAAAAGCCACAGAGACTGTTTAAGGCAAAGTCACCAAACTCTGAGAGCTGAGAATTAAATCTGGTTCTGGAATGCATACTTTAAACAACACTGTAATCAGTTTTCCCCAAGAGTAGACTTTCTGTGGGTTTAAACTAGATTAATGGACTCACTCACTTTCTTCCTCATCTATATAATCACCAATTTCCAAGAAAAAATAATGAAGAGGAGGAAGTAAAATGAAGGACACAGGATGAAGCATATTCTAACAACCAAGATTAAAAGTGGAATGCAAAATGCCTCCCTGGGTAAGATCTACAAGTCTCAGAGCCTTCACAAATGATGAAGTGGCAGGAATTCTTGCCTAGGGGCGGCTGTCTGTCAAGAAAGGTAAGAAATAACCAACACCTGCTTCTGCTTGGCCAGCCATGTTTTCCAGAAAACTTGGTGGCACAGAGTTGCTTTTTGTTTAAATTACATAATAAAACAGCCTTTGTAAGCTACCCTTTTCCTCAGTTATAAAGATGCATATAGTGTATTTAAAGCAGATATGCGAGGACTGTATCTCCCATAGAAGGCTGGAAAAGCTGGTGCTCTCATGAAGGTCACCTTCATGCTAAGTCTCAACATTGTTCACAATTTTGAGGCTCAGAAATGTGTTCCAAAATGTCAGAAGCTATAAAGTTAAAGAAATAAGACATTGGAAGGAAGTGGGGGGAAAAATCCCTTCAGACAGACCATAAATAAGTAACGACTTTGTCCTTGGAGATCACGGGCCAGGCACAAAGGTGTTTCTTAGCTCTCTGAGCTAGTGTGGGTCTGAGAAAAATCAAGTTTCAATTCAAGTAGGCAAATAGACAATAAGGAATAAATAATACTTGGAGTTTTGGTTCTAATTGGGAATCCTGTTTATGGAATAAGTGGAATAAATAAGGATCTTCACAAGTTTAGGTTTGCTTTGCAGAAGATTTCCAACAAAGAACAAGGATAAAGCCACCGCTGTTGAATCAGGCATGGGGGATGAACAACCTGGGGCTCTACATGGTTTGAGCCACACAGACTACGTCTCTAACAGTCCACCTAGTAACCCAGGACCCCACCTGCATCCATCTGCATGTACATCTCCTTAAAACAACAAAGTGGGTTGCTCCTCAACGGTCATGTAGCAATACTCACTTCTATTTGAATATGTTTTAAGATACAGTAAGAAGTAAAGGAGGCAGAAACATTGGCTATCTTCTCCAAACTGGTTTGGGATTCATGTCCATTACAATAAATGTATTCTCCGAGTGAGCTTTTAGAGAAAATCTTCTATTTACTATCTTATGCTTTGCAAAATTGGGCATGCATGTTATTAAAATCAGATGCATTGTGGGAAAGGACATTCACAACAAACAAGGTCTTACATCACTCAAGCCTATCAGACAAAACAGAAAGATTCTACTCCTCGCAACCAACTCTTTCTCCTGGGGCCCATAACAAAAAGACACAAACAATAACCGGGGCTCTTGGACAGTGTAACTCCAACTGGTTACTGCTCCTTTGCAGTGTATCCTCTACTGTACTGAAATAAAGATGCTCTGCCATCTGTACACACTTTTTTAGTTATCTTAATAAGTTGCCCAGGACCTGAAAACACTTATGCCAATGGTGCCTGTCAGAAGCACTCTCCCATTGACACCATGAAAGCCATACACCATACAGTATTCCTTCATGTAGTACAAATAAATCCAAACAGACATGGTAAAGCACTGGAAAGTGAGCTGGGGAGATGTCTCCATAGTTAAGAGCAATCGCTGCTCTTCCGGAGGACCCAGGTTTAACCAGCAACACCCACAAAAGGTTCACGGCAACCTGCAACTCCAGTTCCAGCCAATTCTACGCCTTCTTATGACCTGGCAATATACACATATGGTACACAGACATAACGTGCAGGCAAGACACTAATACATATAAAATAAACATGTTTTAAACATGTTATGTTGGTAGAAGCTTGCTCTAATGGCAGCTCTTGAGCTCTAGGCATCCTCAGTCCCTTCATGACTATTGCCACTTTCTTCTATCATTTTATATCTGGGTATCATAATACCATTCTTGTATAATTACATTAGACTATTTTCTTTAAGCTCATTTATCTTAATAACTGAAAAAATTGAGTGTAAGGCTTGATTAATTAATGTAGCTCTTAAGTAAATGCAGAAGGGATTTGCCATTATAAAGTGCAAAGCAAGAAAGGATACACTGACGAAATCATCTCAGTTACTCGGCAGATACCATTACCTGGCAAATGCTCTATGTTTGGACAGACAATGCCTTTCCATGAAAGATTTTAAGAAAAACTAGTACTGAAACAAACAAAAACTTTTTCTGGAAGACATGTAGTACTGGAAGGAGATGACTTTCTCATTGTGTCAATTCAATGCTATTCAAGAGTTTATTATCAGATTAGTCATTGTCATAAAGTTTCTCTATCTTATCTCTCTTACACATAGATGGAAGTCTGAATACAGAAATATGTGTGCATATACATATATATGTCAAATCAATCAAGGTAGGGTAATTGTGTGTATATACCTGTCACAGAGATGATTACAGGCAAATAATTTACTTACCATGTTCATCAAGTAAAATATTGTCAGGTTTCATATCCCTGGGGGAAGAAATAAGGAAAAGATAAAGTTGTTCATAATAAGACAAACAGAGCCAAATGAATATGGTAAAAGCAAAAATGCTCAATAGATCTTATTTTGGGTCAACATTGCTACATTGTGTTAGCATCGCCTCTCATTATCATAGAGTCTCTGAAACAGTTAGCATTAACTGTGGAGGGTAGAAAACTAAGGATTCAGCCATCAATAAAGAGAAGAATCGGGCTCTGAACCTGGACTTATCTCATTCACAAAGACTCTTAGTTGCTATAGCATGAAAGTATTGGTGCACAGGGATTTATGGAAGATTTACATCGACATAAAGTAGCATGAGTAATATTAGTCATTGTCTTCCTGTGAAATCCCTGCTACACATGGTTTAATGCCTTTAATTGCATAATTATTGTACTCGAGGTAGTAAAAGGGACCAGTCCCCTATGTGTTGGTGTTTAACATGATGGCTGACTAATATGTATTACATCATTCATTGGAAATTTGCTAAGACAGTCATTTCTGACATTATCAACTCAAAGCTAAAAAGGTAATTGCATGAGAAGGTAATGGTAATTTGCTTGATAGTAATACTCATTATGTATATTTATTTCAATTTTCATATTTATTTCAATTCATTTCCACATGTATGTCTATCAAAGCCTCATATTGTGTACCTTTAAAATACATATACCTTTAAATTTGCTTTGTTTTTAGAATAAAATATAAAACAAAAAAGACAGGAAGGGTAAGTAAAAACCACTCTCTTCCAATAAAAGGTGTTTTCTAATAACAAATATGAAGACTGATGGCTAGCAGTGTGTTCACTGTTCTCATGAAATGATTACACTGGGCAGTCCTCCCCAGTCAGTGACTAGCTCTGTAATTTATAAGAACCCACAATTCTCTATGCTCAGACTTTCACTACCCTTCCCTAATGTGCCATTAAAATGCTTCAGCCTAGATTCACAAAAGCCATTAGGAAAGAAATTCAGAAACGGGTTTGGGAACACATTATCAGCTTGGTCAAGTGGCTTTTATGTTGTCAGAATGAAAAGTGACCTTAGCTTTTGACAAACCAAGGCTGGACATCTTTTCTTGTCAAAATTAATAAGCTTAAGAAAACTTACTTATAAACAGAGGTCAGGACATGCTATATCCAGCATTCAGGTGACATGGCTTAACTTGTGAATCTTGAAATTTTCCTAATATGCATTAGGCTGTTAAATTTATTCTATGTCATAGAGGGATCACCTGTCTCTGTGGCAGTATTTTCTATACTACAGGGTACAATTTACCAAAAAGATAGTGTAGCTGGACCTCAAATTGCAGGTTTCTGTGGCTAAGCACTCTTGTAATATTGAAAACCTGCCTCTAAATCCTTTGTTTGAAGAATTATCAAGTCCAAACTCACACATGTTATAGAAGGCATTGCATTATCTGGTTCTCTGTTCCAGCCGTGTGCACACATGTAGGGTCCTCTAACATATTCCCTGCCAACTCTTGCCTGCTCATTACTACATATGTTGCTCTTTAGCCTGAATTGGACCCTCTCACCACCGCATCGAGACATGGCAGATTCATCCTGGGACTCAGAGTTCATGTTCTGCAAAATACCTTCAGTGACTTTCCAACGATAGACAAAATGTATGTGGCTTTGACTGGCCTGTAATATGTGCCACACTATGTCCAACTCCTCATCCCACATGGGCTCAAGACCTCCTTGTTGCCTGATATGGTTTCTTGGATAGCACATAGAGTCACAATCTCTGACTATGGGAGACTCAGGAAAATTCTAGCTCCCAGGAAAGTGGATCCAACAGTAGAGGCCAGGTGCTACACTCTGTATAGTGGGAAGCTGGAGGTAAACCAGGCATCAGATGCTTTCCACTGTTTTCAGATTGTATCCAGTTGACATCAGTGTTTTCCAGGAAAGCAAGAGGCCAGGAAGGAAAAAGTTGGGTGTGGCAAGACCAGTATCAATGTCTCATTGCCTGTATTTATGAGAGTTTGTAGCAGAAATGAATCTCCACGGGTTTGACATTTTGTGAATTTACTATTAAGTATTGGAGTATCTTAGTTGATTTTCTATGGACTTTCTCATCGTTTTGTTTATCAGTTTTCCAGAACCTATCTTGAAACTTAGAAAATAATAGAGAAAAATCAGAGATGAACAATTGGCTGAACATTTTTACCTTAATTTTATGTTTATTTCCTCTCTAGGTATTTACTCAGAGTGAGCCACTGTGCTCAGATAACAGGAAGAAAATGAAATCTTTTTCCCTCAGAGAGGATGAAAAAAAGATCCAAAGGAACTGGACCAGAAAAGTATGAAATGGTATAGGGGAATGTTTATCATCACAACATCAAGAAAGACTATGAGGAAATCTAATAAAATGTGGAATTTTAAGCATTAAAATGAATTACATAAGCTTAGAATTTAACTACACAGTTTTTCAAACTCTAATGAGGTAACTTCTAAGACAGAACAGGGAAAATTGCAGTATGATAAAATGGTTTATTCGTGTATGAGAAGAAACTTGGAGAGTTACATTAAAATTCTGGCTAGAACAAGTTGAGTCTTCCAGTTCTGAATTTTAACTCTATTTCCTTTCTTCAGCAACACTTTGGTACCCTAAAATAATCAGAATAAGAAACCGCTTTTCCTAAGGTGATTGTTTCACTATAGCTGTCTGTAATGTGCTTTAATTTAGTAGTTAACAGACCTGGATATGTTTGAAGTTCCCTTCAGAAGTTTTGAGTACTGAGGACTCTCTGCCACAGTTCAGACCTAAGCCATCAGATTCTGTGTCTGTCCAGAATTACTGGCATCCTCTCAGACATTCTGAAGAATGACCATATTTAGAAGACTCTTCAAAAAAACCAACAGCCACCAACGGGCACTGTGGAGATGTGAAGGAACCTTGCACACTATTGAGAGAACCTATGTTGAGTCTGGCCACTGTAGAAATCAGCAGTGAGGTTCTTCAAAAGACTTGTGACTAAAACGACACAGATATGCTCTCCTGAAGGAACCCAGCAAAGGATGAAAATAATATTGAGTTCATTTCCAACTAAGTGTCAACGTGCCAGGCAATGCTGTGACTCTTGTCTACTCTAAGGTCACTTAACATTTTGATCATTCCTCAAAACCCTCACACCTTGGCTTCTTGCTCCTTCTCAGTAGGTGATCATAGCTTGTCGCTTCAGAAACACATGATAACCTTCTGGACTGGCTTGTCTTTTGATTTACCATTGTCTTCCCTTTGGTTTTGGAATACCAGCTCTTCTGTGGGACTTAGAGTCCTGTCTTCTTGCCTTTTATGCTTTCTCCTGGGAAATGTCCTTACATTGCACACTAACTCTTTCTCTATAGAACTATGTTACCATGCAAGCCATCATCCCCCATTTTTTGATGATACTTCTGGACTGAATGGTGGCAGGTGGAATTGGGAACAGCAGCTGCTACTTTAGTCTCAGATCACTAACCAGACTTCCATCTCCTCAGGTCCTTGAAATTACTCTTGTCAGGTACATCGATTCTCCTCACTGTGCCAAATGCAATCATCACACAGTTGTTACATTACACTCCTTGGGGAAGTAATCACTCCTTCCCGCACAACACACTTTGTTTTTATGGCTTAGAAAAACTCATAGTTTATTGGGTTTCTTACTCTAGAGTTCCCGCCTCAGTCTCCTTTGCTAGAATATTCTTGGTCAGATCTCTAAATGTTGGGCTCTATGCAGAACTTACATCCCACTAAATGACTGCATTTAGTCTTATGATTTTAAATATTATTTACATGCCAAATGATAATGCACTTGAAGCACATTTGTAGTCTTTACCCTGGAATTACAGATAAGTACATAAAATTGCTTGTCTGATGATATCATCTGTTTAGGATCCATGAAAAATACAGAATTCTTTGAACAGAACCTTCACTATTTTTCCATAATCCTCACCCACACAACACCAAAGTGCTTCCAGAATTCCTTAGCCCAGTAAATGGCCCCATAGTTCTCCCATTTCCAGTGAAAATTTTGGAGCAACTCTTCAGCTTTCTTTTTGAACTACTAACATAAATGCTTAGGAACTCCTGATGAATCTACCTTTAGAAGAGAATTGCTGGAAATAGCACAAGATTCTCCCAGAACATAAAGTATGAAAACACCACATGATACAGCAACTTCATTTCTTAGGTATTTATCCCAAAGCTTCGAATGAGAATTTGCACAGGGATTTGTGTGCCCATGTCCACAGCAATGTTGGTATTCACAATAGCTAAACAGTGAAAGCAATCCAGTAATCTATTGATACATAAATGAAAACCAAAATATAGCCTATCCTTTCAATGGACTACTGTTCTTATAAAAACAATGGAATTCTTATAAATGCTACAGCATTAACGAACACATTAATGTCTAGAAGACACTGTGTTGAGTGAAACAAGCCAGACACAAAGGGGCCATTATTGCATGATTCCAATTATATGGAATATGTATATCAGTCCAGTGCATATAAATGGAGGACATAAGAGAGGTTCCTGTAGACTGAGTAGACAGGGAATGATGGTTTATCACTTAAGGGTACAGAGCTCCATTTGAAGTCAATGGGAAAGTTCTTAAGCTGTTAGGTGGCTGTGGTGTCAACATGTTCAAGTATTCACTGTATTTTGTCACTTAAGGTGATGAAGCTTCATGTCTTATACATTTTCTACATCCGTAGATGATTAGTTAACGAAATTAACAACCTGAGGCTCACAAAAGTTTCCAGAACACAGTAAAGTGTTTAAGTAGATGTTCATCATAAAAATTATGTGTGAGTCCTGATACACTCTGTATCACCAGACAGAAACACAAAATTTCTCAATAGATTTTTGATGCCAGTTACACTACATTCACTGTCTGTCAACTGCAAAGCTGACCCCTTTTAGTAAGTATATGAGCTTGCACCAGAGAAAAGATAGGCTGAGCTCTGTGCAGTGAGAGGGTGTGAGGACTTTAGACAGGG